GCCGCGACCACTTCTCGGGTCCACCACAAGGCGGCGCGAGCTTCTGACACTACCTGTTCAGTCAGGGTACACTTTCGTGGTAGAGTAAAAAGCGCGGAAAGCCCGTACTTGCCAGCTTTTTTTTTTTTATTGTATATGCGAGGTCATCTGCAGAACTAAAGTTTATTGTCGGCTTGAAAATGTATAAAGCAGAGGATCCAAGAATGCAACAAACAAAAACATTAGGATGACGGCAGAAAAGAGCCAGTATGATGAATTTATTCAATTAATTTCTTTATAAATACTGTAATCTTTTACAAGATCTTGGCAGCTTGGTACTATACATACATATAAGTGCATAAAACAGAAAAATAACAAGGGAAAACAATCCATGTGTTTGCACATGAGTTTAAAAGAACAAAACAAACAGGCAAGTGATGTTACTTCAACATTCTTCAAATCAAACAGACAATGACTTAGCATCAATAAAAAAGGAATAAAATAGGAAACGCATGAAAAACATCTCAGCTAGGCAAGAAAATTCTTCCTAGTGAAAGACATGGTCTTGTAGGAAACAAAATTAAACTCCATTTATAAAAAAGTTAATCAAGCAGAAGCACCACTTTCATATAATAAGCACTGAATATAAAACAAACATATCAGCTTGTAGGAAAGGCACTGTTGATGAAACACATATGCACGCATAAAAAAAGGCAAAGAGGAACCACATGCATCACTCTATACAAACGATTCAAAGTTTGAGCACTTTGCGCGACAGTGGCTTTTTTTTATATAATTTGGCCACTGCATTTCGGTCAGTGATGTCCAATGCGTGGTTAGAAAGCAATGGTTTTATAAATTTTTTGCATATCAATTCCACAAAACTTCTGCGGCTTTCATCACATTGATCACATCGCAACACAGGTAAATTTGTCACAATATTGATGCTGTGCTTCATGCACTTCTCAAGAGGCTTTCGCAAATATTTGCGGTCAGACAGCATAATGTCTATACCGCTTAAGAGCATGCAATACTCTGATAAGCTGCTGTTTGCATATCAATTCCACAAAACTTCTGCGGCTTTCATCACATTGATCACATCGCAACACAGGTAAATTTGTCACAATATTGATGCTGTGCTTCATGCACTTCTCAAGAGGCTTTCGCAAATATTTGCGGTCAGACAGCATAATGTCTATACCGCTTAAGAGCATGCAATACTCTGATAAGCTGCTGTGTGGGATAGAACAGACCACCTCTGTCTTGGTGTGCGATCAGCCCATCCATACCAAAGTCCCCTTTCAGCTTCTGGATTAGAGATATGCAACTGTCACACAGTTTTTTCACTCACTACACGAGATATGTATCCAGCGACAAGTGCGATGTTAGAGATATGCAACTGTCACACAGTTTTTTCACTCACTACACGAGATATGTAACCAGCGACTAGTGCGATGGCAGCCATGTGTGGAGTAGGTAGGAAACTGCTTGTCGACATGCACAGTTCTCGAAGTGCTTGCTGAGCAAGCTTCACATTTACAGATACCACGACTGTGCTGCCATCCACTTGAGGGACAGTTACTGCTCGTGAAGAGCAGAATGATGCAGAACTGCTCACATTACTTTTCTGTGATGCTGCAATGATTCCCGTCTTCAGCATGTTCTCTACCCCACAGAGGGCACTTCGCACGTCCATGACGTCGTTGCAGCCTGCTGTTTGTCTCAAAAATTCTCAAAAGGATTCTATTGGGTCGTTAGAAAACTTTCTTGTGCAAACAAGCGGAAAGTTGCACTGGTTCAAAAGAAATCTTATGCACTCTACATTTGAGACGGTTTTAAACACTAGTGCATGAAATGTTTCCTCGCTTAAAAAGTTCTTCTGTAAGCTGGCCTCCTTCAAGTCTTCCACATACTCCAAAAAATAAATTCAAGCCAGTGCCACCTTATGTCTTCGAGGTCAGAAAATTCTATTGTATCAGGATTGTTTTGGTGAATATGCTGTTGGCAATTGCATGCTGACATCCATCAGCACAAACCACCTGTACATATGTTCGACCTACATTTGCGAACTTTAGATCACAAGTGTGACCTGCCTGATCCTTCATGAAGTCCAAGGCAGCTGTGACCGGAGGTGAGAGCACTTGGATGGCTGTTCTCACTCCCATTTTTTTCAATGTTCGTGAGAGAAAAATGTACTTTCTAGTAAGAAAGCGAACTGGCTTCACTGTGGAGCCTTGCTGCATCTTGTACAAGTACTTGAGATACCATAGAGATGAGATTTCTTTATTCCCACCCATTTCTTTTGAGAGGAACTGCGACCATACATTCTTGATTATATGTCTTTGGTCAAAAGCCAGAAACAGTTGCCTCGAAGCATCAGTTGGGTGGGGTGTCTGAGTTCGCAGTTGTCCTTGTGACAGAATTTCCATTGCAAGAACGTTTATCTTGTGGTTGTCCGTCACTAACCGCAGAATGCAGTATCCCACTCCTTCAGTTTTCTTTATGATGAGCTTTATTGCCTTAGCAAGTAGCTCACCTGAACATCTTTTAGTAAAGAAGTAGCCTACGGGAATTTGAAACCTTCCGAGCAGACCACAAAGCAGAAAACATAAAAGGGAGTTCGCAAGCTGACTTTTTTCCGACATAGGCAAAAGGTGGTTTAGGTCAGCACCTAAATCAACATGTTCCAGAAATGCATCCCTCTGCTTATTATACTGAAGTTTTAGTCGGATACGCATCTCATCCACCACGAGGCTGCAGTGTTTTGACTGTGGAGATGCGAGGCACTCCAGCTCAGTACTCAGCCGTGCCTTCACCAAATCACTGAATCCGACCTCACCTACTGAATTTCCGAGGTATTTCTGCTGAGTGGCTTGGCAGGGAAGGGCAAGCAGCTTCTCAGTCCTAATGTGCTCATAGGCTTTTGCTGATAGGTGCCGTAATATAGTGCGCTGTCTGACTGCTGCTTTGGACCATGTCGGCTTTTTTGCCTTGTAGTTGGTCACTTGATCTAATATTCGCTTGGCAGTTTTGAGTCTTCAACAACTTGCAGAAACTTGCTTATATGGCACTCGTCTTTCAGGCAATCAAGCTCTTTCTTATATCTATCTACAGTGAGGCGCAACCTTTCATTTTGTGCCTTCAAACTTTTTTCTTTCTTGCACCACTTCTTTTTTTGCAAGTAGGCAGCTGACGAGTTTGATCCGTTCGTTTGTGTGCTAAAGGACCTCATAGTGCACGCCGTAGGCACAAGAAGTGGCACATTGCTGGCTTCAGGCAGTTGATGATCTTCCAAGAACTCACTTGTGATTCCGGAAACGCCGCATCGCGCAGTCACTGCATCTGCTGCTGCTGTTTCAGGTGCAGAGGCATCTAAGCAATCCACAGTCACACTGTCCACAACACTTGGTCCTGTACGGAGGTCTACATCAGGAGCGTGGGTATACGCTCTGGGTGAAGCTGTCTTTACCAGCGATGGTTCGCGCTTGCGTTTGGCGATGCTCGTGTCACTCCGCGGCCAAGGTTGTATATGCCAGAGGTACGACGGATAGGATGGAAAAATGCTGGGCACGCTACCTTGCTTCAACATGCGCCTCTTGCTGGCTCCTCGGAAGTCGGTTTCGGGGGATTGAAGACTGCAGACAGCAGAATAGTTGGACGTTGAATTTGGCTGCCAGTTTTTTCTCGTTATCACTTTGAGCCATTGTTCCCCAAGCATTGTCTCCGTAGGGATCTCGTGAAACGACATGCCGGGTTGTTTCTTACGTTGGCTCGATGTACAGAAGGGCACGCAGCAATAACGCATGTTTCGCAACCATGCAGCGTGCAGTAAAACACAAAGCAGCACACCAGAACTTGTATACCGACAGACACGCCGAGAGAGCAGCAACGCACTTCCACAGAACACCTGTACTTTACTAGCACTGGTGCCGGTGCGTTGACGGCTGGCCGATAGTGTTGGTATAGGGACCTTAAGTAGTGTCAGAAGGTTGCGCCACCTTGCGGGAGCCAAGCGCGTGAAAACGAGAAAACAGGAGAGGGTTTGGGCTCGCCGGCGGCCACGCAGCAGGCATCTAAAAATAGAGAAGGCGTTGGTGCAACACATAAAAATCCAGCCATATGAGCCTGTTTAGTTCCGTTAATGAGGCATTTTCGTTTAAGTGAGTTTAGTTTATTGGAAGTCCACTGTAGGTTGATAATTTAGGAGAGATCAATAATGTAAAGACAGATAAGCAGAATTCCGTTAGTGATCTGTTATGTTCCATTAATCTCTGGTTAACACGGTGACCCATCCGCTTTACGTAGAATTGGCTGCAGCTGAACAGAGCACCACACCTGTACAGTAAATTTGTTGCTTTATTTCACAAAACAAACGTCAGTTTGCCTCTTGTGTCTGGGCTGCTCATACTTTCGCTGCAGGGCGACAGATAGCTTCTTAGTTAACGCATTGACGGCCGTGAAAACAATGCTAATGGCATATTTTCCCCCCTCTGTTTTTAGCCTGTGAGGTATGTAGTGCATGTAAGGAATACTGACGACACGTTTTTTTCCTGTTGCTTTCTGCTACCATGCTCAGGCTTAACAAAACAGACTTCTTTAAATGTTCAGTGACTGTGACCACTGCCATGTGAGAATAACTTACACCTAAAACATGCATAACCCATTAATTAGATATAGCACTAATTTTGTCATTACATGACCACTGATTCAAGATAATCACCACTACATAAACTTAAGCAATTTTATATGTACCAAAAAAACCTCTATAATATAATTACCTAAGGTGCCCTCTAAACATACGTCAATCTTGCTAAGGGTTTACAGGCACTAAGTTGATAGCTGCATGCTTTTGAGCATTTAAAATATGACTGTTTGTTATGATGGCAATGTTTGATATAGTGGCTGTTCCTGAGGCCATGCTTAATTTTAATGTGAGTGACTACTGCCTTTTGTGCTTTTGCATGGTAGCCAAGGTATTCTAACCTGGCTGGATTATATTTAATAGAGTGAACTTTTTTCAGGATGGACATGCCTGAGAGACCCATGAGTCGAGATGAAGCATGCACCCCGCAAATGGGGCCTGATGGAAAGTTTGTCTACCCGTGTTCCTACTGTTACAAGACCTTTTCTTCTACCTCTGATCTCAACAGGCACATGGACTTCCATGAAGGTAAGGGAGTGCTTTCTCACATCACTACTCCCATTGTAATCATACAACTGCTTATGTTTACCATTGAAGCCATGAAATGCAGCTGACAGTGTGTGTCTGTCTTCATTCATTTTCTAATCCAATTTGGTGTCTAGCATATGCTTTCGCACAACACCACCTTCCTACACCTTAGCCAGGGTTTTCGCCAGAAATTTTTTTGGGACGGACAATTTGGGAGCGGGATAGAAAGCGGAGAAGCAAGGGTGCTTGTATTTGGGAAATTGCACTCTAGTTGCTGATTTTTGAAACCACTGGATTTTTAAAATAGATGTTGGCTATCTTTGCAAATACTATGCTACACAAAAAGTATTCAGATTGTACTTTTTATGAAGCAGACATTCATGCAATATATGAACAATTTTCAACCTTTATTTTTCAATAGGGTGAAATGAGTGACTATTGTGAACCGAACCGGCGCGCTTCGGAGCATGACCGATGATAGGGCACAGTGGTGAACAACTAAGCGTTCTCTTACGAAAAGTCAAACTTTTCGTGCGGCAATTGCCAAATAAATCTTCTGAGGTTTAGAACAAACCTGAGATCTTGAGGTAATCATCAGTGAAATAATTTGAAAAGCTATGACACTCGAGTGCCTATTTATGCTTAGTGCTAGTCTGATGCACTTTCGCTGGCCATGTTACTTAGATCTGGCAAACCAAATTGGCCTTGTTGGTCGCTAATGCTGCCAACATTACTAGAATAAGCTGAGTTTCAAAGCTCTGCCAGCGGAGGTGGGTGGTTCGAACGGCGGTCAACTAGCGATGCTGCAGTCAAATCTTGCGTTACTCTCATCACATAGTCTGCTACGGTGGCGTACGCCAGCGGTTAGTCGGGCTGTTGCACATGGTGGTTTTTTTGTTACTGTTGTCAAACTTAAACATTTATCATGCTTCCATTCAACATTCTCGTGTCGCATTTCTGGACTGCGCATGTGGATACGCACAAGGTCGCCTTTATGCATTATGGTTGGCTAAGAATCGATGTCCAGCTTATGTTGGAGCTCTCTGCATTTCCTTTAATATTCAAGTACGAGAGATTCTAAATGAATTAGCATTTTCAGCATACCGTAACTACTCGAATCTAATGCGCACTTTTTTTCCGGTTAAGCGAGTTCATAAATCGCATGCGTGTTAAAATCGAGTGCGAAAAAAATGAATACGGTCATTCTATTGCCATCGGCATTTCCAAAATGGCCGCCCTCTACGTGCTTCGGGCATAGCGCGTCGGCCATTTCTGCCTATGTGTTTCCCATGTGCGGCACTTCGTACGTGTGCTGAGAGTTCGTCATCTTGTAGTGCATTAGCATCGACGGCATGGAAGGGCCGACTCCAGAAACTCGACGAGTGTACCACGATGCCGCTTTTAAAAGAAAAGTCATCGCGTGTGCCGAAACAGACGGAAATCGGGCCGCATCGCGGTCATTCGGAGTTCCCGAAACGTGCGTGTGGGACTGCCGGAAACAAAAGCAGAAGATTGTCAAAGATTCATGCAAAGGCTTCAGTGGACCACAGCAGGGTCGGTTTCCGCAAATTGAAGAGCTGCTCGGCGAGTATGTGATTGAGCAGCGAGCGGCACAGCGGCCCGTGACGACAGAACTGCTCCAAGGGCGTGTTATGCAGTTAGCCTTAGAAAAAGGTCTAATGCAAAGCCAGCTTTAATCGAACAGGTGCTAGCTAACTAACTTTATGAAGAGGAAAGGCTTTTCCCTCCGAAGGCGAACGGGCATACGCGAAAAGTTTCCGGAGGAGTACGATGAAAAGCCTCACAGTTTTTAGAGGTTCGTCCTAAACTTGCGGCACAACAATGATTACCTGCTTGGGCAAATCGGGAATGCCGATCAGACGCCTCTTCGACATGCCTGGCACCACAACGGTCGAGAAGAAAGGGGCGAAGCAAGTTCGCGTGCTGACATCGGTCTACGGTAAAACTACAGTGACGGCAATGCTCTGTTACATGTCAGATGGGCACAAGCTTCCTCCGTACCTCATATTCAAAATGAAGACGCTCCGAAAGGAGTAATTTTTTCGATTGGTATGATCGTGCGGGCCGAGAAAAATAGGTGCGCGTCGCAATCGATGTCTTACTTTTTTTTTTCGTCGTGTAAACCGGGTGCGCGTTACAATCGAGGGCGCGGTAGAATCGAGTAAATACGGTAGTTTTTTTGATGACCACCCACTACCATTTTAACTACAGTCATCTTTCTGGACGAAAAATGACCCAAAGCGTCTCTGTAAAAGCCTCAAACAGTCGACTTACTGCAATACAAAAACTCTCTAGAACAGTACTCATATTTTCTGTTATTTACAAAAAAAAAAGCAAACTCTCGAGAAAACAGTACCCATGAAATATCAGAGAAATCTTCACAATGGCTATCAATGGTTAGCAGAGTGCAAAATGTCACAGCCACTTCACCTTCCTTCTGGCATTTTCCACTTTTTCCAAAAGCTGTAATTCCTGATGGATATTCTTCAAAAAGAAAGAAAAAAAAACCCCTTCTCTGCAATGTATAGCATCACTTCTCTGGCCATCATATTCCGATCATGAGCAGTATAACCTAAAAGAGGGGCAGTGTTAAGCAATCCCCATTTTCAAACACAATGCAAAATAGGTTGCCAACTGTGAGGTTTTTGTCAAAGGCCCTTAGATAGCTTTTTCAATTGCTTTTATTGTGGAAAGAAAGCCTCATGAGGGATGAATTCCATTTTCCTGTGAACATGCCCACAGACGTTGTACACTCACAGTGTGTTACTTCCCCGTGCACTACGTAGCACTGGGAAGAAGTGACACCGACATGTGCAAAACACTGGTATCTGTGCTAAGATTCAGAAATAAGAACAGTACGTTTAAGAAAACGATCTGTTGCTTCAATATAAAGCAAATGTAACAAAACCTGGGCGCTGTTAAAACGTGACCACTTATGTACGATTGTGTTGGTTCTCAAAGGCACTATGTATTAAAGCAAAAAAAAATAAATAAATCCACTGCAGTGCAACGACATTTGGTCGAATGTCAACGTGATACTGCTCTGACTATTGACAACCTTGTTCATTGCCTACCCCTACTTTCGCTGTCTATTCCTGGCAGTTCCTCCAAACTGGACACTGGGCTTTTGATGGGTGCCGTGCATTTGTGGGGGCATTGGAACCTTGGTTATGATCATTTTAGCTTCGATATATGGGGTGTAAACGCTGGGGACAAGAGTGGTGAGGTTGAAGGCTCGGTGTGTTGGTAAAGCATGGCATATAATCGACGGGACACAAGAAAGAGTACTGGGCGCGAGTCTGCATGAGATGAAAACTTATTGTGCAGTAAAGCATGACAGTAGTGCTCTACAATGTTGTCATTCTCAAATTGAATGCCATAGACTTTGTGCTTGGCGGTAAACCTTCTATCTTTGCAATGCAAAGCTTGCTTTTACCTTTTGAATAGCGTCTGATTTTTTTGGAAGTCCATCACGTTGAACATAGGTTTATATCCCAATCAAGAATAAATTATGGCATGCAAATGATTCAATTTACCATGCTCGATTTGATACCTCAAGTATAACAACATAGCCTCAACTTGTTTCGCTTGTTCAGTCCCTCTCCTGGGCTACTTTATTTGGATGTTACAACTACCTTTCAGTGTGCCTTCATCATGGTATCAAATAACATTGTTGGATGAACTACTGTCTTTTCACCGATAATTATATTTATGCCTTATATATTATTTGAACGTGATAATATTGAAGAGTTCATTTTTCAAGAATCTTGTTTTCAGCATCGTCGGTTGTGAGCAGAAAATCATCGTCATTGTGAGGCACCGCAAAGCACCCGCGAAGGCCATGGGTGGGCGAGAGCAGGGAACGGCTAGAGGAGAAGGTGGTAAACGGCTGGATCGTCTGCATCTGGCTGGCATTAATAAAATAGAGGAGGCACTCTCCAGGCAATGCTTCAAATACAGGAAATTCGACTTTGAAATCATCGATAGCGGACTATCGCAGGTGCATACAGGAAAGTGTCAATGGTTTCCACTGTATGATAGCCCATCAGATGCGTTTCCATTTCAGAAAAGTAGCCGTAGCTTTTCTTCAAAGGTCTGTGTCAGTGTCGTCCTGCTTCCTACACAACCCTCGGTATGCTTACCTATTTAGTTCCTATATGGAATCATGCCAAGGACTGATCACAAATGTCACAATTCTCGAAGCCCTTAAAACATATACTGTATTTACTCTATTCTACTGCGCCCTCGATTGTAACGCGCACTCGGTTTTCACGCCGAAAAAAAAAAAAAAAATAGGGTAAGACATTGATTGCAACGCGCACCCATTTTGCTCGTTGGCCCGCACAATCACACTACTCTGGAAAACGACTCCTTTCGGGAGCGTCTTCCGTTTAAATATGAGGTACGGGGGAAGCTAGTGCCTATCTGATGTGCAACAGAGCATTGCCGTCTCTCTTGTTTTACTGTGGCCCGATGTCAGCATGCGAACTTGTTTCGCCCCCTTCTCGACGGTTGTGGTGCCAGGCATGTCGAAGTAAAGAGGCGTCTGATCGGCATTCCCGATTTGCCCAAGCAGGTAGCCGTTGTTGTGCCGCAAGTTTAGGACGAACCTCTGAAAACTGTGAAGCTTTTCTTCGTACTCCTCCAGCAAGTTTTGGCGCATGCCCGTTCGCTTTTGGAGGGAAAACCTTTCCTCTTCATAAAGTTAGTTAGCCAGCACCTGCTCACTTTGAACTGGCTCCGCGTTAGCCCTTTTTCTAAAGCTAACTGCATAGCCCGCACTTAGAGCAGTTCTGTCATCACGGGCCACTGTGCCGCTGCATGCTCAAGCACATACTCGGCGAGCAGCTCTTCAATTTGCGGAAACCGACCCTGCTGTGGTCCACTGAAGCCTTTGCATGAATCTTTGACAATCTTCTACTTTTGTTTCCGCCAGTCCCACACGCACGTTTCGGGAACTCCGAACGACCGCGATGCGG